ATTTCCTTAATTACTTGCTCCATTATCTTCCCTGGCACAGAAGTTAAACTAACTGGTCTGTAGTTTCCTGGGTTGTTTTTATTTCCCTTTTTATAGATGGGCACTATATTTGCCCCTTAATTTATCCATTAAACAGTTCAGATCCAGGTTACCACAACCTTCAAAGAGACATAGAGACAATAATACTATTTCACTCAAGTGTCATCACAAATGTTAATATTCCTTTTTGATCTTTGAATCAAAGCTATAGCAATAGACAAGACTTGTTTGCTTACATCACAAGCCCTGAGCAAACACCTCCCCTTCTCTCTCTAACAATGCCGGCTGCATTTCAAAGCTCTGCTCATTTACAGATCTTCCTAACCAGTCTCTAAAGTTCGGCCCTGGGTTAGGTCAGTCTGTGAGTTAATTAACTCTTTCTGGCCCTGTCCCCTTTCAATGAGCTATTATATTACACTCATATCGTCACATCCCCCACCCCGAGCCTCAGATGCCCCACAGGGGTTAACTCACCTGAGTAGCAGGGGTCAGGTCCCAGGAGTGGCCCATGGGGGGTCAGCAGAGGTAGGATGTTTCTCTGGAACAGCCCAGCCCAGGGGGGTCCTGGGAGCTGCTGCCGGGTGGCGGAGGGGGAGAGCTTAGGGGGGTCCCAGGAGCAGCCTGCCGGGTGCATGATGCCCCCCTCTCTCGCCAGGCCCCCGTTCCACAGTGCCGATCCCCAGAAGATCTACAGCAAGATCCTGGATGGGGTGTTCTCATTCCCGGCCTACGTGAGCGAGGCCGCCTGCTCCCTGGTCTCCAAGCTGTGCCGGTGCGTGGACTGGGCACGGGTTGCAGCTCCCTGGCACTGCCGCGTGCCCACGGCTGCAGGGTTGGCGTGGTGGGTGCTGGCCAGCCCACAAGGCCGGCTGTAGACGGCTCCAGGGCCTGACCCGGGGGAGGTAAGGAGGGCCAGGGGGGCACCGGGCTGGAGACTCCCTACCCTCCCGGCGAGCCCGTTGCTGAGCTGTGGGCGAAGGGCTCCTCCGGGCCCCTGCCGGAGCCGCGCCGTGGCCGGTGCCATGTGAACCTGCCGGGCAGGGGCACGGCTGGGTGGGTTGCAGGGGCGGGGGCAGTGACAGGGGCTGCACTGAGCCTATTCTCTGCCCCGGCGCAGGCTCCGGCCGGGACAGCGCTTGGGCAACACCAGCACCGGCATCCGCGGCATCAGGAAACACAGGTAGGAGAGGGGCCAAGGGAGACGGGGAGCCCCCCACGGCCAGGGCCCCCCTCCAGCCCCACAGCCAGGGCCCCCCTCTGGCCCCGCACCCCACAGCCAGGGCCCCCCTCTGGCCCCGCTCCCCACAGCGCCTCCCACAGCTAGGGCCCCCCTCCAGCCCCACTCCCCAAAGCCATGGCCCCCCTCCGGCCCCGCCCCCCACAGCCAGGGCCCCCCTCCAGCCCCACTCCCTAAAGCCATGGCCCCCCTCCGGCCCCGCCCCCCACAGCCAGGGCCTCCCTCCAGTCCCGCTCCCCACAGCCAGGGCCTCCCTCTGGTCCTGCTCCCCACAGCGTCCCCCACAGCCAGGGTTCCCCCCTCTGGCCCCACAGCCAGGGCCCCCCTCCAGCCAGGGCCCCCCTCCGGCCCTGCTCCCCACAGCGCCCCCTGCTGGGGGTTCCCTCCCCGGCTGGGAGAGGTGGGGCTGGAGCAGCTGGGACCCCCTGTGGCTGGCGCTCCCGCCCCGCTGACGCTGTCCTTGGTCCCAGGTGGTTTGGCTCGGTGAAGTGGAAGCGTCTGGCCCTGCGGCAGGTCAATGCTCCTACCCTGGCGCTGATGAAGCAGGTGAGGGGCTGCGGGGGGGCACCCCTGGGCAAGGCTGGGGCACCCCTGGGCTTGGTTGCCCAGTGTCATGGGGCGATCGGCTGAGTCCTTGGAGTGGGAGTGGGGCTGCCATGCTCTGCCTCCGTAGGGCACCGCAGCTCCCAGCATGCCATGGTGCCTCACTCTGCCCACGGGATGGGGGGCCCCCTGGCATGGCATCCCCCTCCCCCAAGCACGCCGGCCAGGGACACTGCAACACAGGGTGAGGGAGGCCCTCCACGGTGATGCAGTCCAGGCCGAGCAGCCCCCTGCTGTGGGGCAGCCCACGGCTGTGGGAGCCCCAGGCAGGGGCCAGAGCTGGGGGGTGTCATGGGGCGGGTGGTGAGCCAGGGAGGGAGGACCCAGGCCGAGCCCCGTGTGGGGCAGGAGGGAGCTGCGGCCGTGACCCGGAGCTGGAGGAGACTGAGCCCCATGCCCTCCCTCCACAGGGCCCGCCCTACGCCAACTTCAAGCGCTTCTCGGTGGACTGGACGCCGGCCGAGGAGGAGTTCTCGGGCTGGGACGAGGATTTCTGAGCGGCCGTGGGGCCCAGGCCAGCAGCACCCCAAGGACTGGGGGGTGGGGGGCCGCTCTGCTGGTGGCTGCTGCCCTGGTGCTGAGCTTGGCACGTGCCCCCTGCCCGTGGGAGGACGGGGCCCTGGGCTGGCCCCTCCTGGGCACAGGGCCCCAGCCTGGCAGACCTGCTGGTGGGGAGCAGAGGCCCTGGGCCTGTTCCTGCAAGCGGCTGCCTGAGGGTGCAGGGAGCATGCTCGTCCCCTGGGCTGCCAGGCCGGGCGTGCTGGCCACCCTGGGGCATGGCCAGCAGGGACCGGCTGTGGGAGCTGCCCCGGGCCTGGCCCCACCGGGCTGTGGGCAATAAAGCCGCTGCAAGCCCCTGTGTGACTCCATGCAGCCTGGGCCTGGTCTCTGCAGCGCTGCCCGTGGGCAGGGAGGGAGCCCCTGTGGTGCCCGGGCAGGGGACACAGCTGCAGCTGCTCGCAGGCCCAGGGGCTCTGGCCTGAGCCAATGTGCGGGTGGCGCTGACGTGCGCCTGGCTCTGGCAACGGTGGCTTCTCCCGGCTGCCTCTGCCCGGCGGCGCCTGCCCTGCCCTGCCCTGGCCCCCGCTGGCGGGTGGGTGGGGGCACCCCAAGGTGGCTCTGCCCCTGACAGCACTGAGGGGCAGCCGTGGGAGGGTTCACCCCACGCCTGGAGCCCCCGCTGCAGCGCCATGCTCAGGGCAGGTTGGGCGCTGGCCTGGCAGTCCTCTCCCGGGGGCTGAGTCGGGCACCCCCGGGCAGCTCGCCCTGCGCCTTGCTCTGGTGAGGAGCCGCCCATGGCACCAGGCTGAGGAATGAGGCGGGGCCACAGGGTACAAAACACCGTGACGTTTCTTTATTAATACATGGAATCGATGCCTGGGCAGAGCTGGCCCCTGGGCCAGAGTGGGGCACCGCCGCCCGCAGAGCCGTTCATGGCCCCCTTCCCCCCATGGCTCCCTCAGCCAGGCCCAGCGCGGGCAGTGCTGGCCGCCGGCTCATCTCTGGTGCTGTCTGTGCTGGGAGGGGGCCCGGCGCCGCCCCCCGGGCGCTCTCCGGCCCTGGCGTGGAGGCGGCTGGGGTCTGTGCCTGGGGGTGGTGAGGGGCTGCGCTGGTGAGCAGGAGCTGTGCAGAGGGGCGTGGCAGGCGGGTGCCCCAAGGGTGAGCAGCAGGGCAGGAATGGGCGCGACAGGATGATAAATAACAGGGAGGTGCCCGGTCGATGTGGGTGGGGGAGGGGCCTGGCTTCAGGGGAGGGGGATCCCGGGCCCTGGGCCTGGGGTATCCCTGCAGGGGTCACAGCCTGGAGCCCCCCGCAGCAGCCGGCCGGCCTGCAGGAGACACGTCTGCCTGAGGCCCCGGCCCTGGCCGGCCCCTGGGGTGCCTTGGTCACGAGCCCCCTGGGCCCCTGCAGCTGGGGGGTAGCTGGGAGCGGCGAGTAGGGTGACCAGATGTCCCGATTTTATAGGGACAGTCCCGATTTTGGGGTCTTTTTCTTATATAGGCTCCTATTACCCCCCGACCCCGTCTCGATTTTTCACACTTGCTGTCTGGTCACCCTAGCAGCGAGGGACCCGGGCCTGGGAGCCAGGAGCAGGGGGGCGAGGGGGGCTGGGCTCCACGGGGCTCTCGCTGCCTCCTGCGCCCGCTGCTGCAGCATGTGGGGGTGGGCTGCCGGCCTGGGCCCCCCTTTTCCCCCCATGCCAGGGAGCCATGTCTCCTGCAGCGCCTCGGATCCCCCTGCCCCCCAGCACTGATGGGTCATGGCCTTTGCACCCCCTAGGGCGAGGGCAGGGCTGGAGCAGGATGCAACGCGCCGGAGGCTGGGCTGGGGAGCCCTGGCTCGGCCCCTCCCCTGTGCCGGGGGGCAGGGACTAGCCGACCTCGCCCCCCTCGCCCGGGTACAGCAGCACCGCGCTGAAGACGGTGAGCGGCTCGTCGGCAGAGTGGGCCAGCCGGCCCGTCACCAGGTCCACGCAGAGCGGCTCGCCCGCCTCCAGCTGCAGCAGCAGGTTGAAGACGCCCAGGGAGCCGGGGTTGGGCTGGTTCTCGGCCACGGGCTTGTTCTCCAGGCCCTCGGGCTGGTAGCCACCCGAGTCGCTGCGGGCGATGCCCTGGTTGGAGCGCGACAGCACGGCCTCGAGCTGCTCGTTCCGGTGCCCCGTCAGCACGGCGCTGACGAAGTAACGCCCAGCCACGGGCACCGTGAAGATACCTGGGGGGGGGCAGCCCATCAGTGGGGCGGGAGCATCCCCCCAAGGGGGCCCATCACCCCAGGGCACTGCCCCTGGGCCGGGGGGGGGCCTGAGCACGCGATGAGCCCCTGCTACCCTGCCCTGAGTGCCCCACACACAGCTCTGCCAGTGCCCCAATCCCGCCCCACAGCCCCCTGCCAGCCCAGCCCTGAGCTCCCCCCACACAGCTCTGCTAGTGCCCCAATCCCGCCCCACAGCCCCCTGCCAGCCCCGAGTGCCCCACACACAGCTCTGCCAGTGCCCCAATCCCGCCCCAGAGCCTCCTGCTACACCAGCCCTGAGCTCCCCACACACAGCTCTGCCAGTGCCCCAATCCCACCCCACAGCCCCCTGCCAGCCCAGCCCTGAGCTCCCCCCACACAGCT